CTATCCTAGAGCCTTGATAGTAGGTGTGCTGTTGTAACTGTGGTTCTGATGACCCAGAAGCAGGTGCTAAGCTGTAAGATGGCTGCCACTGCAACTGGTCAGCAGACTGCTGCTGGATGTATGCTGGCTGAAACTGTGCTAGGGTTTTCTGTAGGGGAAAAGTCTGATTGTCATCTAGTGCCTGAAGCACTTGAGGCTGCTCTAAAGGCTGTATTACATATTGTTGTTCCAGGGCCACTAGTTGCAACTGTTCTTGCAAAGGATGTATAATCTGGACCATGTTTGTAATGGTATTTGGAATACCCAGTAATGGTTGAACTTGCTTAGGTGCCTGTGAATGAGGTACCTGCTGCTGGAGAGCAGCATGCTGACTATACTAAGATTGCTGTTTGATTTGTGGGACCTTCCTGAGTAGACAATTGATGGGTTTCCTGTGCTTGTCTATGAGATGAATGAGTCATCTGCTGCTGCTGCTGAATGAAAGCTAAGTGAGAAACCTGGCTTGGTGCTAGATGTGATTGGGAAAGCTGTGCTGAGAAATGTGTGGGCTGGATCTGTGCCTGTGAAGAGGCCCGCTGAATAAAGGACATCTGCTCAGGGTTTTGAAGCTGTCCTTCCATTGCCCTCTGAGACATAATGCTAGTTGACTGGGCCTGAGCTTTTAGCTGCTGGTATCCAAAACTGACATCTGCTTGGGATGGAGTTGCTGAAAAGTGGACATCAAATAAAGGCTCAGTAGAATGTGTCTGTGTATCTAAGGTTGGTATTAAATACATCCTTTGTTCCAATGTTGAAGAACTACCTTGGGGTTGTGTTAAATAGGCTTATTGCTCAAAAGCCCATGCTACAAATGGTGGCACAGAGTATACTTTCTGATCTGCAGAGTCTGCCATGTGTACTCGCTAGCTATCATGAGGGCTTATTGTATATACCTGCTGGGTTATGAAGGTTGCATGTTCAGTTGTCTGGATGGTGTCAGCAGTTTGTGCCAAATAAGATACATGCTCAAGAGACAGTGCCTGATAAGCAGGCTGTTCCATAGGTTGCACAGGGTAAGCTGCCTGGATTGCATACCCTGCCTAGTCTGGAAAAGGTAACTAAAGCAGAGGTTGCACTAAATAAGCAGGCTGCACAGTGAGTCAGTGCCAAATACAAGGGCTGTACTGCAGCTGGGACTGGATAAGAAGACTGCATAGAATATGCTGGCTGTGATCTCGGTGGCTGTACAGTGTAAAGAGGATGCTCCAGGACTGGCAGTTGGCAGTGAATAAACAGTTTATGTGGTGGAGTCTGATTTGGGTAAGTTGGCTGTGATAAGTAAGAAGTTTGTTCCTAGGGACATATCACAAAGGGCAGCCGCTCAGGAGCCTTCAATGGGAAGGATCATAATTCTGCAGGTGGCCCTGCATAAGCGTGTTGAACAGAGTAAGAAGGGTGTTGCAGGGGCTGAATGACACTTTCAGTACCTCTCTTTGGCTGCTGCTGACTTGCAAGAGCTTCAGACTCTTGCAGAATACAATCCTGCAGAACATTTTTCTGTGGAGATCCCAAAATCTTAGGTTGTAAAATTAATGACTGTTGCTGAATAGAAGCTTAGAAACAATGCTCCTTCAAATGCATGGTCTGGCTTTGTGGCATGGAAGAATCTGAAGTTAGAGACTCCTGATGTACTACTGGACATGACTGTGAACTGAATGTATCTTTTGTGAAGGCTGATGGGCCCCTGAATACCCCCCAGTGAAATTAGAAGGGAGCTGAGCTGTACCAGCAGCATTCTGTGCGTTGCTCATGTGTTAAACAGAAGAATGATTCAACAAAGTTTGAGTGATTAACTAGTAAGAAACTAGAAGTCTGACTGGCATCTGGTGCTTTGGTTAATGCCTGATTCCCATTTCTAGGATCACACTCAAGTTGAAGAGCAACTGTTGGATACTGGGAGGTCATCTGTGAAGCAGACAATGTCTGAGGAGAAATTGCAGAAAGACTGGTTGTGGCCAGGCATGGTGGCTCACGCCTGTAATCCCAGCAATTTGGAAGGCCAAGGCAGGCAGATCACTTGAGGCCAGGAGTTCAAGACCAGCCTGGCCAACATGGCAAAACCCTATCTCTACTAAAAATACAAAAATTGGGCAGGCATGATGGTGTGCTCCTGTAGTCCCAGCTACTCGGGAGGCTGAGGTGTAAGAATCACTTGAACCCAGGATGTGGAGGTTGCAGTGAGCTGAGATCACACCACTTCACTTGAGCCTGGGTGACAGAACAAGATTCTGTCAAGAAAAGAGAGAGAGAAAGAGAGAGAGAGAGAGAGAGAGAGAGAGAGAGAGAGAGAGAGAGAGAGAGAGAGAGGAAGGAAGGAAGGAAAAGAAAAGAAAGAAAAAGAGAGAGGAGAAAGGAAGGAAGGAAAAGAAAAGAAAGAAAGAAAAAAAGAAAAGAAAAGAAGGAAGGAAGGAAGGATTGGTTGTGAAACTCCAATAACTGAGAAGTCTGAAGTCATAGGTTGGGCTGAAGTTTTTCCTGCTCCAAAGGCCAGCTGCAGGTACAAGGAGAACTCAAATTATAAATGCATATACTATGCCCATTTTAATGAGACTGTCCCAGACAGATTGATAGAGAAAATAATGCTATGTTCCAAAAATTTCAGCAAATTATAAAAAATTTGACAGGTATATCATTAGTCCTATAAAAATCCTAATACCATGAGTAAATGCTAGTTGACTGAATATACTAAGGGGTTGAGACCAGTCACAGCAATATATCACCCATGGTTTCTCATTTATTGCACGTACTACGTAACTCATTTAAACCCTGGCAGAGATTCTGAGTATCTGAATCTGACACCATCACACACCAGACAGTGGAAGTCCCATAAGAAAGCCCAAAGGATTTGAGTATCATTCCTAAAATGAGCATAGATACTCTCTCAAGAAGAGAGAGTTGGCAGAAATAAATACAGATTCGCTGCAATAATGCATAGAATTTGGGCTACCATGCTCATAAAAAGACCCATATAATCAAAGTTCTTGCTTATGTGGCTTCTATATATTAGGTAAAAAGGGCAGGCTACAAAATTCAAATGTACATACTATACATGTGTATATATAAATAAAGTTATACATGTGCACAAAGAAAAACAGATAAATCTAAAGGCTATACCTCAGACATAAACAAGTTGTCTCTAGCTAGAGAAATAAGCAATTTTTCACTTTCTCTTTTATAACATTATGGGATTTATTTTAAAATAAGCAAATAATACTTTGATAATTAATTTATTTTTCTTTTATCGAGACAGAGTCTCGCTCTGTCACCTGGGCTAGAGTGCAGTGGTGCAATCTCAGCTCACTGCAACTTCCGCCTCCGGGGTTCAAGCGATCCTCCTGCCTCAGCCTCCTGAGTAGCTGGGATTATAAACGTGTGCCACCACGCCCAGCTAATTTATTTTGTATTTTTAGTAGAGATGGGGTTTCACCATGTTGGTCAGGCTGGTCTCAAACTCCTGACCTCGTGATCCGCCTGCCTTGGCCTCCCAAAGTGCTGGGATTATAGGCATGAGCCACTGTGCCCAACCTAAAATTTAAAAAAATTTTTGTAACACATTTTAAAATAAACATACCTATATGCTTATATAGTTGAACCTAAGTTAAATTTAAGCACCCACTCAACACATTTTGCATTATAGGCTTAGAAAGAAGCAAATCAAACTACAACATGAGCTTAATTACAACTAGGAACCATATCACTTATAAATACTAGCCAAATATCTGGCACCGTTAACTGTATCAAACTAAATCTACCCCTAGCAGATGCATGTACTTTAAATGCATCTGTCATTTGTGAAGTACATGCTTTCCCCTACAAAACTGAGTTATTTGAGGGCAAGGATCATGTTTCTTTTACTTCATATCCCCAGAAGGTAGCAATCATTAAAAATTTGATGATGAACTAATAATATACTAATTTCTTAAAGATACACCAGCAGCTACCCAAACCAGGCATTCTCTGTTAGCTAGCAGCTAAACAGGAACTTAGATCATCTCACTCCCAGAGAGAGAAGACACATGCAAGGTATGGTGGGAGGTGAGGGGAGAAAACCAGGTAACGGCAATGAAAAATGCAACCATGTATCCAGAGTCCATAACCTAGGAAACCAGGATACAGTCTTAATATATGAACTCACACACAGACTGTTAGTTAACTCTTTGTCAGAAATGAATAATGCTGACTTTAAGAGTTTTAAAGACAGGCCAGGCGTGGTGGCTCACGCCTGTAATCATAACAATTTGGGAAACCGAGGTGGAGAGATTGCCTGAGCTCAGGAGTTCAAGACCAGCCTGGGCAACACGGTGAAACCCCATAACTACTAAAACTAAAATGCAAAAAATTAGCCAGGTATGGCAGTGTGCGCCTGTAGTCCCAGCTACTTGGGAGGCTGAGGCAGGAGAATTGCTTGAACCTGGGAGGCGGAGTTTGCGGTGAGCCAAGATTGTGCCATTGCACTCCAGCCTGGGGGACAGAGCGGGACTTCGTATTAAAAAAAAAAAAAATTCTGAAAAACAAACACTTATTTCCCCCTCAGTAATCAACATGAACCAAAACAAGTCAAGAGTTTAGATGAACATGCTATGAAAATCTGTGAAATACTATTTCTAATTAACTGCAATAGACATCCTTTCATGTTCAAACCAGGCTGGAAAAATTTAATACAAATAACAAATAATCATTAATAAGAGGAAGAGATCAATCCTAAATAAATCTTTTGTCCACATACACTGAGCTCTCTATTTCTTCTCCAATTATACAAGTAGTGTCTCCAGATTCTGGTTACACAATGTTAGGCACACTAAGAGTAATGCCTTGGGTAAAGGAAATTAAAAAAAACTTACAGCTTTCAGTGACCTTTCTCTAAACTATAACAGATTTATAAGAGAATCTTTGCCTGTCAGAAAATCTAGGCAGTGTTAAATTTGTTTAAATGAATACAGAGCCTCTAAAATGTGTCTTACCTTTATCTGTGGAACCTTCTGAACAGTTAATGGGGAAACCTGGGGTTGAGTCAGTTTTGGCTGCTTCTGTAACTGTTAAAATAAGGGGAAAAAAAGATTAAAGATAAACTTTCCCATTTATAGTAAATATACTGATTATATATTTTAAAATATAACAGTTCACCTCACCCCTGAAACTTGCTGGTAATGTCCTACTAGTTGCTGAGATGAATAAATTTGCCCTGGAACATTTATTTCAGCCTGCGGGATGTTAGAAACCATTTGAGAGCCCATCATTTGATTTGAGGAATAGGCTACACTGGGCTGACTTGAAGTATCTGAATGTATAACTGATGCAGCTCCTGTCTCAGACAAATTGTCACCTATAACAAAGAAAATAAGTAACAGGTAGAAGGGAAAACTTGAAGCACAAAATGTCCAAATGGTATAGGTAATGGTGTCTCTTTAATGGCTTTTTCACTCTGAGAACTTGACATAGCTTCAAATAAAATATTTACACTATAGCATTAATCAAAAACCAGCAATTAAACTCTGTATCAAACAATGAAATGTTGATATTGTGGTATAACTAAAATTTTCTTAGCAAAGCAAACCTAAAAACAGAGCATCAGATAAAAATCAACTCCATTTGGTGGCCATGTCACGTATATCCCTAACTAATCTACACTTGACATTAGGATTTCAGTAAAATATATCATATTCTTTCTGCTGTAACCTAGAATATGGTCTTTGTAGAACAATAGGTTATTATTATGCAAATACTGTGTCCTTCTGGAAAATAAAATGCATTACAGCAGGAAATTAGAAGAATTGTGCTAATTTTATACTTGAGCCTAAAATACAAAGGGTCTTAAAGACTAGACAATTCCTTCTTGAGGAATAAATTTTACCTTTAGTTCTAAATTTTTTTTTTCTTTTTTTTTGAGAGACAGTCTCAGTCTGTCGTCAGGCTGGAGTACAACGGCACAATCTCAGCTCACTGCAACCTCTGCCTCCCAGGTTCAAGCGATTCTCCCGCCTCAGACTCCTAAGTACCTGGGACTACAGGCATGCGCCACCACACCCGGCTAATTTTTTGTGTTTTAGTAGAGATGGGGTTTCACCATGTTGGCCAGGATGGTCTCCATCTCTTCACCTTGTCATCTACCTGCCTTGGCCTCCCAAAGTGCTGGGATTACAGGCATGAGCCATGTTATCGAGCCTGACCTAGCTCTGTATTTTCTTTATTAAAATATTTATGCGGCTGGGCGCGACAGGTCATGCCTGTAATCCTAACACTTTGGGAGGCTGAGGCAGGCAGATGGCTTGAGCCCAGGAGTTTGAGACCAGCCTGGCCAATATGGTGAAACCCCACCTCTACCAAAAGAAAATACAAAAACTAGCCAGGTGTAGTGGCATGCACTTGTAGTCCCAGATACTCAGGGGGCTAAGGTGGGAGGATCACCTGAGCCTGGGAAGGTTGAGGCTGCAGTGAGTCATGATCACGCCAGTGCACTCCAGCCTGGGTGTCAGAGCAAGGCCCTGTCACAAAAAAAAAAAAAAAAAGATTTATGTTGGACCCTCAAAAATGATAATAAGGTCATTTTATTTATACCCTGAACAAAACCAAATGCTAGATATTATAATCCTTCTGCAACTAGCACCTTAGACAAGTCACTTAACAAAACAGTCTATTTCAGGGGTTTTATAAAAGGCTTGATGAAATGATAGATAACAGAATGCTGTGAAAAACACAGTAGTGCTACTTAAGGATAAGCAAATACACAAAAAGGAAAAGAAACAAAATAGCCATTGACCACTGCCCTTCAAAGTAAATAAAGATTAGGAAATATAATTGCATGTTTGTTTGCTTTTAAAAGCTGTAACTGTGTTACCTGTAACAGAGGAGCAGTGCTGCTGTGGTTTTCTTTGTAGAATCTGTTGTCTAACATGTTGATCAACTTCAGTTTCTTCACATTCAGCCCCAGTTTGCTGAGTGGGAGCAGGGGGCAAACTTGTATTCTGGGGCTGAGGGAATACATTCCCCACAGACTTGCACTGAGAATCCCTGCGTTCTTCCAAGCAGCCAGTAGGCTTCTTCTCCCTTGTCTTCTTTATTGGGGTCACCCGGTCTCTAATGGATTTAGCAACAGCTTTGGAATCACTTTCATGAAAGAACCCAGACTTGACCTACAAACAAAACATAATAAGCAAATGACTTCTTTAACATTTAAGACTTTAACTCTTTTTTTTTTTTGAGATGGAGTCTTGCTCTGTCACCCAGGCTGGAGTACAATGTTGCAATCTCAGCTCACCGCAACCTCTGCCTCCCAGGTTCAAGCAATTCTCCTGCCTCAGCCTCCTGAGTAGCTGAGATTACAGACGCCCGCCACCACACCCAGCTAATTTTTTTGATGTTTTTAGTACAGACGGGGTTTCACTGTGTTGGCCAGGCTGGTCTCAAACTCCTGACCTTGTGATCCGCCTGCCTTGGTCTCCCAAAGTGCTGGGATTACAAGCATGAAGCACCACGCCCAGCCAATTTTAACTTTTTTTTTTTTTTGAGATGGAGTTTCGCTCTTGTTACCCAGGCTGGAGTGCAATGGCACGATCTCGGCTCACCGCAACCTCCGCCTCCTGGGTTCAAGCAATTCTCCTGCCTCAGCCTCCTGAGTAGCTGGGATTACAGGCACGTGCAACCATGCCCAGCTAATTTTTTGTATTTTTAGTAGAGACAGGGTTTCACCATGTTGACCAGGATGGTCTCAATCTCTTGACCTCGTGATCCACCCACCTTGGCCTCCTAAAGTGCTGGGATTACAGGCGTGAGCCACTGCACCTGGCCTTAACTTTTTTTTTACTAGCAGTTATTTTATGCCCCAAAATTCTAAATTAATGGTTAATCTATTTCTTTTTTTTTAAAAGAGAAAAAGAAGGGGAAAAAAAGAAAAAGAGGGAAAAAGGAATATTACTTCATTCCTAAAATGGGTTTCAATAATGGCCGATCAATATTTTGAGTGTTTAAAGTGGTTAATGCATATTTTATGTGTTTAAAATGGAGACCTCTATTGTGTTTATTTGTTCTGGCTCTGAGTTCAAATCCTGGATATCGTTATCAATTTGTTGTCTCGTTGAATCTAAATCTCACTATGTGTCTTATGTATCTGGGTGTTAAGATCTCTTATTGTTATATTAATCCTTTTACCCTTGTATCCTTATAGCTTTGAAATCTATTTTGTCAAATGTGAAAATTGCAACTCCTGCTTTTTATTTATTTATTTTTGCTCTCCATTTGGTTGGTACTTTTTTTTTTTTTTTCCAACCCTTTATTTTGAGTCTATGCATATCTTTGGATATACCATTGGATTTTGTCTGTATCTTTTGATTGGGAGATTTGGTTGATTTAACTTTAGGGTTGCTGCCATTTGATATTAACTGGCTATTTTGTCCTTTTGTTGATAAAAATTCTTCTTTATGTTAATGCTCTTTACTTTTTGGTGTATTTTTAGAAAGGATCATACTGGTTGTTCCTTTCTGTGTATAATGCTTCTTTTAGAAGTTCTTGTAAAGCAGGCCTGGTGGTAATAAAATCTCTGAGTACTTGCTTGTTCCTAAAAGATTTTATTTTTCCTTCAAATGTAAAGCTTAAATTGGCAGGATATGAAATTCTGGGCTGAAAGTTTTGTTCTTTAAGTATATTGAATATTGGCCCCCACTCTCTTCTAGCTTGTAGGGTTTCCATTGAGAGATCTGCTGTAAGCCTAATAGGCTTACCTTTATGGGTAACTTGATCTTTCTCTCTGGCTGCCCTTAATATTTTCTCCTTCGTTTCGATCTTGGTGAATCTAACGATTATGTGCCTTGGGGTTGGTCTTCTTGAGGAATATCTTTGTGGTGTTCTCTGTATTGCCTGGGGTTGAATAGTGTTCTGCTTTGCTAAATTAGGAAAATTTTCCTGGATAATGTCCTGGAGAGTATTTTCCAGATTGACTTCATTCTCTCCGTCACATTCAGGTACACCAATCAAGCGTATATTAGGTCTTTTCACATAGTCCCATATTTCTTGGAGACTTTGCTCATTCCTTTTTATCCTTTTTTCTCTATTCTTGTCTTGTCGTTTTGTTTCATTAAGTTGGTCTTCGACCTCTAATACCCTTTCTTCTGCTTGATCCATTCGGCTGTTTAAGCTTGTACATATTTCACTGAGTTCTCGTGTTGTATTTTTCAACTCCATAAGTTCATTTGTATTCCTCTCTATATTGTCTATTCTTTTCAACATTTCATCGAACCTTTTTTCCAAGTTCTTAGTTTCTTTACATTGGGTTAGAACAAGTTCCTTTAACTCCCAGAAGTTTCTTATCATCCACCTTTTAAAGCCTACTTCAGATAATGGAACACAGTCCTTTTCCATCAGGGCTTGTTCCGTTACTGATGAGTCCTTTTCCATCTGGGCTTGTTCGGTTGCTGATGAGTCCTTTTCCATCAGGGCTTGTTCCGTTGCTGATGGGTTCTGATTTTGAGTATACTCGGCCTTCTTAGGCTGTTTTTTTCCCTTCATTATCGATGAACCGCCTTTCTAATCAGTTTTCTGAGTCAACGTCCGACTTACTGATTCCCAGTGCTGGGATCCGAGCCACCCACTGTGGCAGCCTAAATAGCAGCAGTAAGACTGATGGTGCTCTTCTGCCCGGGAATCTCTGGTCTGGCTTCCCTCTCGAGTCCGCAACAAGCGGCTCTGACTTCTCCGAGCTCCAAACTCTGGTCAGTAGGGGAAGCAGTCCCGTTGGCTCTGCGTGAAGAGCTGCTGCGCCGAGACGCCGGCAAAACCGCTGCGGCGGCCACAAGAGTCACGCTGGCGACCCGTGGGGCTCCTCCACTGGGAATCGGCTAATCGGTGAGTGACGAAAATTCGTCTAAAGATGTGGCGTCGTCTCGTTCTCTGAGCTTTCACTGGGAGCTACAATCCTGAGCTGTTAGTGGTCGGCCATCTTGAATCGTCTCTCAGGTTAATCTATTTCTATATTCTCTCTTAAACGAAGACATACATAAATGCCAGAGCCTCTAATTGGCACGAGAAAAATCAATACTATTACCAAGCATTGTTAAAATAATTCAGGCTTTAAACAAAAACAAACAAAACAATTTGATGTTTCGGTATATGCAGCCTTATCACGGGTAATTTAGAACTGCCATTAAGTTTTTTGAAGGATTAAAAAGATTTCCTTATTCAGCAACATTAAGTGTCTACAATGTGCGTGGTACTACGTACCAGATATAGGTGACTAAGTCAGTGCTTTGTCCTGTATGAGCACACTATCTGGTGGTGTGAAATGGACATAACTTGAAATGAGCTAAAAATGAGCTGCTGTAAAGGTCTTAAGTAGGAGCACAATGCATCTCTGGAGGAAATACAGTAAGTGTTGTCACAGAAGAATTCTATTTTTTTTTTTTGAGAGACAGGGTCTCACTCTTGCCGAAGCTAGAATACAGTGGTATGATGATAGGTCACTGCAGCCTTGATGTCACAGGCTCAAGAGATCCTCCCGCCTCAGCCTCCCAAGTAGCTGGGATCATAGGCATGTACCACCACATCCGGCTAATTTTTAATTTTTTATAGAGACGGGGTCTCCCTATATTGCTTGGGCTTTGGTCTCGGACTCCTGGGCTCAAGTAATCCTCTTGCCTTGGCCTTCCCAAAGTGCGAAGATGATAGGTATGAGCCATCACATCTAGCCTGGAAGATAAATTCTGACCTGCATAAAGCCAAAAAGGAACATGCACACTATTGAGGGATGTGCAGAAGTTTGGAGTGAGGTCCAACATTCTAGGCAGAGGCAAGTATGCTAACAGTGATGTACTACATCTTACTAGGCATTAGAAGAGAGAGAGAAGAAGAAAAGGTTCTGCCCTGTCATCTCAGAGGAACAGGGCTGAGCAGTAGAGAAGATCATTTTAGGAAGTACCATGATATATCATTCTCAGTTCTGCAATCTACTTTAAGATGCTCCCTCTTAATCCCCAAACCTGTAAATATGAGATATCACTCCCATCACTGTGTTTGCTATAATACATAGCACAATTGGCCTTAAATTCGGCAGGTTATCTGCGTGAATCTTTACCAGCTGCTGGCACTAGAAGGATTCAATATGCCATTGCTGACTTTGAAGATGGGGTAGAGGTATGGGAAAGGACTGAAGAGTGACTTCTAGGAACTGAAAGTGGACCCAGCTAATAGCCAGCAAGGAAACAGGGACTTCAGTCTTACAACTGCATTGAACTGAATTCTGCCAACAACTTAGATGAGCTTGAAAGCAGATTCTTCCCCAGAATCTCCAGAGACGAGCCCAGGTCAGCCAACAGCTTGACTTTGGCATTATGAGATCCTAAGCAGAAAATCCAACCAAGTCCACCAGGATTTCTGACCTACAGAATTGTGAGATAATAAATGGGTGTTGTTGGCCTGGTGTGGTGGCTCACGCCTATAATCCCAGCACTTTGGGAGGCCGAGGCCAGTGGATTACCTGAGGTCAGGAGTTCAAGATCAGCCTGAGAAACCCCATCTCTACTAAAAATACAAAATTAGCTGGGCATGGAGGTGCATGCCTGTAATCCCAACTACTCGGGAGGCTGAGGCAGGAGAATTGCTTGAACCTGAGGGGCGGAGGTTGCAGTGAGCCAAGATCATGCCATTGTACTCCAGCCTGGGCAACAAGAGCAAAATTCCGTCTCAAAAAAAAAGGGGGTGTTGTTTTAAGCCACTAAATTTGTAGTAACTTGTTACGTAGCAATAGAAAACTAATATAGTCTCCTACTATTAATCATTAGCAGACAGCCAAGATTTATCAGAAATATAAGAAAAGCCTCTCACAAGAAGACAGAACAAGGCCAGGCGCAGTGGCTCATGCCTGTAATCCCAGAACTTTGGGAGGCCGAGGCAGGTGGATCGCCTGAGGTCAGGAGTTCGAGACAAGCTTGGCCAACATGGTAAAATCCTGTCTCTACTAAAAATACCAAAAAAAATAGCTGGACATGGTGATGGGTGCCTGTAATCCCAGCTACTCAGGAGGCTGGGGTAGGAGAATCACTTGAACCCGGGTGGAGGAGGTTACAGTGAGCCGAGATTGTGTCATTGCACTCCAGGCTGGGCAACAAGAGCGAAACTCTGTCTCAAAAAAAAAAAAAAAAAGATAGAACACAAAACCAACAAAGAGGAAAACCAGCAACTTGGAGGAAACAGACTATGACAGAGATATAGAGTAATATTGCATCTATAAAACAAAGAACAAAACGTTGACTTTAAAAAAAGAACAGACAAAAAATAAAAAACAGACTCTTGAAATTCAAAACATGATAGCAGAAACGAAAAACTCAATAGAGGGCTTAGAAAGTAAAGCTGGTAATATCTACCAGAAAGGAGAATTTAAAAAATGGTAGAAAACAGAGAAGATAAGAATATTGAAGAATGAGTCCAAGACGCTCAACATCCAAATAATAGCAGTTCCAGAAAGAGAAAACAAAGAAAAAGAAATCATTAACAAAATACTTCAAGTAATTTCTCAAAAACTAAAGGATATGGGCTGATGGATGGAAAGGGTCCACTGAGTATCCTAAACAATGGTTGAAGATAGCCAAAATCAAGATACATCGCTGAAATTTTAGAACACTAAGAAGAAAGAGAAGATATTACAAGCTTCCAGAGAGGAAAACAATGGGTCATATGCAAAAGATCAGTAATCATAACAACTCTGGACCTAACAGCAATGCTGAAAGCTAGTAGAGCCTGGAGCAATAACTCCAAATTTAAAAGAAAAAGGCCAACATAAAATGCCTTTAATGATTGACTAAATATGAATATAGAAAAAAGTGTTTCCTTTTGTTTGTTTGTTTTTTGAGATGGAGCCTCACTCTGCCGCCAGGCTGGAGTGCAGTGGAGCGATCTTGGCTCACTGCAACCTCCGCTCTGCCTCCCAGGCTCAAGCCATTCTCCTGCCTCAGCCTCCCAAGTACCTGGGAGTACAGGTGTGTGCCACCATGCCCAGTTAATTTTTATATTTTTGGTAGAGACAGGGTTTCACCATGTTGGCCAGGATGGTCTCCATCTCATGACCTCATGATCCACCCGCCTCGGCCTCCCAAAGTGTTGGGATTACAGGCATGAGCCACCGCGTGTGGCTAAAAAAGGTGTTTTTATGCATGTAATGTCAGAGAATTTAACTCCATGTACTCTTTCATAAGAAGCTAGCAGAGGAAGTGTGTCACTGAAAAGGATACACCAAGAAAGAGAAAGACACGGGATTTAGGAAACCCAAAATTAAATACAGGAGTGAAGCAAAGAGAAGTCTAGGAAGATGGTAAAGGGAAATGCCAGGGTGATACTTGTGTACCGGATGTCCAAAGTAATCATTCCAGATTAGAAGAGTATGATCAGAAAGACATGTTAAAGACTATCATTTCAAAGTCCCCACTGTCATTGCTCCATCCTGCTTTTTAACCTGAGGCCAGAATGCCCAGGTGAGTCTGGCTCAGACGGTCTGTACTTGGCTGGTTTTGAGTATATGCTGCCCCAGCTCCTGCACACCCTCCCACCAGCACTGCAGCTGCCTGGAGCAGGTGTGGACATGCATTTCACCCCATAGAAGTTGCCTGCTGTGATCTACTATTGAGGGTAGCGGCTGGTCACAGAGAGATTAGAAGTGAAGAGTCGGAGCGACCCGCTCACCATCAAACCATATGGTAACCAGACAACTAATTTCTGGTCTGCATTAACAGCCCTGCTGGTGCCCTGACTGCTGAGATGTGGGTGTATTTTCCTGGCCTCATCCAGAACCTTACCCTCTGACTTCCCCAGAAGCAGCTCTTGTAAAACTCTTAGGGAAACTGAAGCCAGACTCCCTATGACTGAGAGATTCTCTTCAGCTTATCCTCTCCTGAGAACTCTTCACCTAATTGTACCAATACTGCCCTTTCCAGTAACCAGCTAGGTGCATGTTTGCCGTTCAGCTTTCAAAACAAAACAATATATTACTTAGGTTAACTATGATGAAAAACAAAGAAACGAGTAACACAAAAGTCTGGGTAGAGGGTTGGACGCAGTGGCTCACGTCTGTAATCCCAGCACTTTGGGAAGCCAAGGCGGGCGGATCACTTGTAGTCAATAGTTCGAGACCAGCCTGGCTAACATGATGAAACCCCCATCTCTAATAAAAGCACAAAAATTAACCAGGCACGGTGGTAGGCACCAGTAATCCCAGAAACTTGGGAGACTGAGACAGGAGAATTGCTTGAACCTGGGAGGCGGAGGTTGCACTGAGCCAAGATTGTGCCACTATACTCCAACCTGGGTAACAGAGAGAGATTCTGTCTCAAAAAAAAAAGTCTGGGTAGATATTACTCATGGTGATGAGGGAGGGAAATGCAAATGAGAGAGACACTTGGGTGGCTTCTAAGGTAGTGGTAATGTTCTATTTCTTAATAAAGGTAGAGCTTTATTATTCTTTACACTGTACATACAAATTTAATATATTGTGTCATGGTGATACAGTTCACAACATAACAATTTAAAGAAAATGAGAGGAAAGAAAGCAGTAAGAAGGAGAAAGGAATCAACCCTGATATAATAAGAGGTGAGGGGAATAGTGGTATGATTAACTTACCATTTCATATGCTACTTCCTCAGGTGTATCTGTTTCTAAATTGAAACTAAATTCAAGAGCTTCATTGTCCTTGTGTTTGCCTTTCAATTTTTTAGGGTCTTCAACCCAGAGTCTTAAAGCCAGGGATGAATTTGAGCAATCATCTTCTTCTGCTAACTCCACCCTCAGTCCTGTATCCTCAGCAAAAAATGCGTGGTTTAATAGGTCCCTGATAGACAACCTAATAAACAAAACATATAACTCATTATCAGTTCTTCCAATCATAGCAAGATGTAGACCCTTCACTAAAAATTATATGAAAGCAAAAAAACTTATTTTATATTTTCCATCAATTTTATCATTAATCTGCCTTGTTATAAAAACCAAATCTCCCAGCACTTTGGGAGGCCGAGGCAGGCGGATCACAAGGTCAAGAGATCGAGACCATTCTGGCTAACATGGTGAAACTCCATCTCTACTGAAATACAAAAATTAGCTGGGCGTGGTGGCGTGTGCCTGTAGTCCCAGCTACTCAGGAGGCTGAGGCAGGAGAATTGCTTGAACCTGGGAGGCAGAGGTTGCAGTGAGGTGAGATCGTGCCACTGCACTCCAGCCTGGCGCCTGGCGACGGAGCGAGACTCTGTCTCAAAAAAATAGTAATAATAAATAAAAATTTTAAAATAAAAATAAATAAAACCAAATCTCTTTCTTTAACAGATCCTGTGGAAGCAAACAAAACAACAACAAATCTTATATCCAACTATCAGGGATACAAAGAAATCGCAACTAACATGCATATGGAATGACTTCAATTAAAAATGAATTATGGCTCACGCCTATAATCCCAGCTCTTTGGGAGCCTGAGGCGGGTGGATCACGAGGTCAAGAGATCAAGACCATCCTGGTCAACATGGTGAAACCTTGTCTCTACTAAAAATACAAAAATTAGCTGGGCATGGTGGTGTACGCCTGTAGTCCCAGCTACTCGGGAGGCTGAGGCAGAATTGCTTGAACCCTGGAGGTGGAGGTTGCGGTGAGCTGAGATCGCGCACTGCACTCCAGCCTGGGTAACAAGAACGAAACTCCATCTCAAAAAAAAAAAAAAAAAAGAATTATTACCAGTAATACATCTAAATAACAAAGTTTAACATACATAAAATTATGCCTAATGAGAATTGGAGAAGTAGTTTAGTATATGTTAGGCAAATTTCCCTAAGCCACTGGCTTCAGTTATTCAGACTTGAACAGTAGATTCTTAGCAAGGGAACCAAAAACTCTTACAGATTATAAACCCTAAAGTAAATTAAAAATTCAAACTCTTTTTACAAATGTTATAAACAGAAGTCACTAGTTCCATTAACAATAACCTAGTCAGTGTACTTTACTCTTTACAGAATGCCATGGGTGAAGCTAATGTGGTTCAGGAAAGTCCAGTGGTTTTTGTATTTAACTCAGGTTTTACGCCAGAGTATACATATAATGGATACAACCCTAGCCTAATATTAGGAATTAACAATCTCTGAAGAGAAATAAAGGACATAGCTTCAAAAGATTGTTTACAAGCTGGGTAAGTTAATTTATTTTAGTAACTTTTAAAACAGATACATAATATTAAACTATCTGTATTACAAGCCAGGGAGAACTGAAACTGATGTACTGCATAGTCTACGGAGACATCTTCCTATACTACTTAAACAGAAAAAGTATATAGACAGCATAGTATCTTCTAAATTGAGGATTTTCAACCCCCTGCATTTTTAGTGACCAAATGACAAATACTTAACTAAGACAATGTCATAAATAGAATAAACCATCATTCCATACAAAGTTGACTTTAAAAAAAAAGAAAAACCTTGCTCAAATGCATTACTTTTAAGACTAAAGCAAGATGTGTTTAAGGAGGCACAACCAAGTAAAGCCCTCTGCTTCCCAATAAAAATTTTTGCTGTATTATTTATAGTAAATTTTTACTATAAAATTTTTATTATTTACAGTAAAATTATTTTAGTTTGTTTGCTTGTCTGCTTTCTTGTTTTGAGATGGAGTCTCACTCTGTTGCCCAGGCTGGAGTGCAGTGGCACGATCTCAGCTCACTGCAACCTCTACCTCCCAGGTTCAAGCAATTTTCTTTCCTCAGCCCCCCGATTAGCTGGGATTACAGGTACCCACTACCATGCCCAGCTATTTTTTGTATTTCTTATAGAGATGGGGTTTCATCATGTTGTCCAGGCTTGTCTCAAACTCCTGACCTCAAGTTATCCAACTGCCTCAGCCTCCTAAAGTGCTGGGATTATAGGCAAGAGCCACTGTGCACAGCCAGTTTGTTTTTAAGACAGTGTCTCACTCTGTCATTCAGGCTAAAGTACAGTGACATGATCATAGCTCACTGCAGCCTCCAACTCCTGGGCTCAAGCAATCCTCCCACTTCGGCTTCCCTAGGGGCTGGGACTACAGGTATGTACCACTACACCTGGCTAATTTTTTTGTTTTTAATCTTTTGTAGAGACAAGTATCTCACTTTGCTTCCCAGGCTGCTCTTGAACTCCTGACCTCAAGTGATCCTCCTGCCTTGGCCTCCCAAAGTGCTAGGATTATAGGTGTAAGCCACCACGCTCAGCCTATTATCCTTTCAGTCATTAAAATAATACCTGTTTTATGCAACTAACTTGCTCAAGATCACACGGGCTAAGTGTGAGTCCAGATTTGACTTTAACTCTGATGTTGAAGCCTGTGCTTTTTCCAATATACTAATATGCTATGAATCCTTTTCAGTATTCCAATGTTCTTTGGTAATAAAACATATTTAAAGGCTGTACAAACAACAATCAGAATCTGAACTAAAAGAGCTACTTCTACATAGTATTTTTAGCCTCATTTTTAAAAGCATGCCTAAACTCCTATCTCATCATCAACAACAACAACAACAACAAAAAAAAAAAAAACAAGCCAACAAAAATGGGCAAAAGAGTTGAACAGATTATTTCTGCGAAGATATACAAATGGCCAATAAGCCCATGAAAATTTCTACAAAGGATGTATCACCTTTACTAATAATTATCAATAAGGAAGCAAAAATCAAAAGATGAACCCACCAATTTAAAGTCAGCAATTGTCTAAAGCTGAAACTAAAGGGAGGCAGGCCAGGCATGGTGGCTCACGCCTGTAATGCCAGCACTTTGGGAGGCTGAGGCAGGCAGATCACTTGAAGCCACGAATTGGAGACCAGCCTGGCCAACATGGTGAAACCCCATCTCTATTAAAATATAAAAATTAGGCCGGGCATGGTGGCTCACTCCTGTAATCCCAGCACTTTGGGAGGCTGAGGAAGGTGGATCACCTGAGGTCAGGAGTTTAAAGACCAGCCTAAGCAACATGGAGAAACTCCATCTCTACTAAAAAAAAAATACAAAATTAGCTCAGTGTGGTGGCACATGCCCGCAGTCCCAGCTACTCAGGAGGCTGAGGCAGGAGAATCACTTGAACCTGGGAGGCGGAGGTTGCAGTGAGCTGAGATCAAGCCATTGCATTCCAGACTGGGCAACAAGAGTGAAACTCTGTCCCAAAAAAAAAAAAAAAAAAAAAAATATATATATATATATATATTAGCCAGGTGTGATGCCATGTGCCTGCAATCCCAGCTACTTGGGAGGCTGAGGCAGAGGTGACAGTGGGCTGAGTTTGCACCACTGCACTTCAGCCTGAGTAACAGAGCGAAACTCTGTCTCAAAAAAAAAAAAATTAGAAATTAAATAAGAAATAAAACCTAAAGGGAGACAAAAGCTAAGAGTATTGTGAGTTGTCCATAAGGCAAACACAAATTGTGAGATAAATAAATGTGGAATACGATTTCTTGAATACATACTTCTATCCATATTAGCTTTGTCATTATAGTGACATGAGGATATATAATCAAATTTTTAAAAATCTGTCCACTCTCAGCTGTTAGAAGCAAATTAACCTGTGAGGGCCTACTGACTGTTAAGCTGATGGGTGAAGGTGATGAAAACGTCAAAAGGCACACACACACACACACACACACACACACACACCCCGCAAACGTCAGTTCAAGGAAAATTCAGCACATAATGTTCAAGTCTAAAATGGCAAACAACATGCACTGATACACTTCAATCTAGACAGTATGGTTTGGCTTCTACTCAAAAGTCAAACCCGGCATGACTGAAAGATCAGAAAACGACTGAATGCAAGATAAGAGAAAAATGCAACTTTCACTTATGTCATTTTGCTACAATTGTACCCACCTTTCAGATTTGTTTTGACGAATACATCCTTCAATGATTTCTTTCACTTCAGGATCAGTGACTTTATTGAAGCTGGCTGGTTTTATGCCCTAGGAGAAAAAAATTGTTTCTAGTAACAAATGATGCAGTTGAAAGCCCAAGTCAACATGACATTTATTAAACATTATTTTTATCACTAAACCATACTCAAGTTTTAAATGAAATGTGTAAATATATGTATATATATAAATAGAGAGCATAAGCTTAATAACCTTTTGACAAGGTTGTTGTCTACAAATAACAATAAAAAAACCGTAAATAATTTAAACCTCTGACAACGGAGGTAAAGTTACACATATTAAGTTATATATATAGTATGTTTTTCAAATCTAGACCTGCAGGTATATTTTACAATATACAGAAACTAAAATTGTTCTCAGAATAATTAATGACATGGGGAATTCTCATAATGTATATTAAGTAGGGAAAAAATAGGATCCCAAAATGTACACATAGTACATACAGTATAATCCTAATTAACAAAATATAATATGTATTTTTTTGAAATAAGAAAATAATGCTATTTTAAAAACCTTTTGAAAATTCAAAGTAAAACCTTCTCTATTTCAAACATTCCAATTTTCTCTCTCTATATATATGTATATATATATTTTTTCTCTTAAGATAGGGTCTCACTCTGTCACCCAGGCTAAAATGCAGTGGCATGATCACAGCTCACTGCAGCCTTGATCTTCCAGGCTCAAGTAATCTTCCCACCTCACCCTCCAGAGTAGCTGGGACTACAGGCATGTGACGCCAAACTTAGCTAATTTATTTTTCTTTTTGTAGAGACAAGGTCTTGCTGTATTGCCCAGTCTGGTCTTGAACTCCAGGGCTCAAACGATCCTTCTGTCTCAGCCTCCCAAAGTGCTAACAGGCATGAGCCATCACAGCCAGCCCAATTCAATATATTTCAGTCTTCTAGAATGGCTAGAAGCAATGAGCAATCAGTAGATACATATGTGTAAATGTGTGTATATATGTATACATATGAACATATATATGTACTTGCATATTTAAGAAATCTGTATTATTTTTATCCTTGAGCGATAATAAAATATTGAGAGTAATACCTCAAGCTAATTATCAGGTTTTAGGAATTCAGTAACAAATAAATGAAGTCCAGACAATTCAAAATGTTACTATAATAACTGTGCTGGCTGACTGAATCTGCTTATTTTATATTTTATCTTTTTAAAAAAATATTCTAACCAGTGTCATGTGATACTATATTCTGTTATCTTTTATTTAAGCATTTTAGATTTAAAAAATAACCCAAGTAAAATCATTGCAGTCATTTAACAGAAAATTACAAATTAAGCTGGAAGCAGAAACGTACAATGAAAAGAATAATTGTTATGGAATGAGGCAATCTAACATCTACTTCTAGGCCTGTCATGATACCTCAAAGGACACAGAATCAGAAAGCCCAGTATTATACAGTAGATAAATCTGATGAAATTAGGAGTTAATTCAGTCCCTAAAATGTAGAAGCTTAAGATAGATGGAAATCTGAATTGTGATATGGCATTTTTAATGACTTTAATGTAAAATAATAAAGTCATTATTCAAAAATGGACCTATTAAAACAGCAACTCAAAGTACTATAAAAAATAAAAATAAAAATAAATTTTAGGCCGGGCACAGTGGCTCACACCTGCAATCCCAGCACTTTGGGAGGCTGAGGTAGGTGGATCACCTGAGGTCTGGAGTTTGAGACCAGCCTGACCAACATAGAGAAACTCCATCTCTACTAAAAAAAAATACAAAATTAGTCAGGCATGGTGACACATGCCTGCAACCCCAGCTACTCGGGAGGCTGAGGCAGGAGAATCACTTGAACCTGGGAGGCAGAGGTTGCAATGAGCTGAGATCGCACCATTGCCCTCCAGCCTGGGCAACAAGAGCAAGACTCTGTCTCAAAATAAATAAATAAATAAAATTTAAAAATTAATAAAATTGACCTGTTATTCTACCTATAGAAAAAGCCCTCTTTGACATTCCCAGAGATTACTCATTTCTCAGCCCTGGGCAAATTATTGCCTTTCTCTGCTCCTAAGTAAAAACAGTTCAGGGAGCTGCAACTTACAAAATTTAATGCAAAATTCTTTTCTATTTATGGGCCTCCAAAATATGGGCCAAAACTAAAAACACATTCTAGCCTTATCTCCTTTTCTGAGCTCTTACAGAAATTTTCAAACATACTTGAAAGTAGAATAGCATAAAGTCCTGTGTAACCAACACCAGTTTCAACAACAATCAACATCTGTCAACCTTGTTTCAGCTATTTACCCCCACACATATTGTATCCTGGAATATTTTAAAACAAATCTCAGGCATCAGGTCATTTCACGCATAAATTCTGCAGTTTACATCTCTAGCAAATAAGGACCTTTTTAAAAAAATCGTGTAGCTCAGGCCAGTGGCTCATGCCTATAATCCCAGTACTTTGGGAGGCCAAGGCGGGGAGATTGTTTGAGCCCAGTAGTTCCAGACCAGTCTGGGCAACATGGTGAAATCCCATCTCTACACAAAAGTACCAAAAAAAAAAAAAAAAAAATAGCCAGGTGTGGTGGTAAGTACCTGTGGTCCCAGATACCAGGGAGGCTGAGGTGAGATAATTGCCTGAGCACAGTAAGTCAAGGCTATAATGAGCCAAGATCGTGCCACTGCACTCAAGCCTGGGTGGCAGAGCAAACCCTGTCTCCAAAAAAAAAGAAATAAAAATCATGTAATCATCCCCCCCAAAATACTCATCAGTTCCTTAATATCAAATATCATCTGAAACCCAATCCATACTCAAATTTTCAAAACTGTCTAAATGATGTCTTTTTACAGTTGGTTTGTTCAAATCAGGATCCAAACAAGGTCCATAGGGTAGGGTGTGCATGAACTAGCTCATACCAGCTCACAAATAATATTACATTTTCAGAAATTCTGAAAGCCAATTGTTAAACATGGTCATTTTTTAAAAACGAAATTATAAAAGTTTAAAATTAAATAAATTACATTAAAAGCCAAGGTAGGCCGGGCACAGTGGCCCACACCTGTAATCCCAGTAATTTGGAAGGCCGAGGCAGGCAGATCACCTGAGGTCAGGAGTTCGAGACCAGATTAACCACATCTTTATTAAAAAAAAAATACAAAGACTAGCCAGGTATAGAGGCACACGCCTGTAATCTCAGCTACTTGGGAGGCTGAAGCATGAGACTCACTTGAACCCGGGAGGCAGAGGTTGCACCTACCACTGCACACCAGCCTGGGTGACAATAGACTCTGTCTCAAAACAAAACAAAGCTAAAGTAATAAACACTGAAAACATCACTCCCTAACTATTTTACTACAGTTGACTATTATTTATGTGTTTGAGGTTGTTTACAGCTACTCTATCTGTAGAGTAGAAATAACTATACAATGAGTACAACACTGCACGTCTTCCCAACTCTTCATTCAGTGAGGTCACACTGGTAACTTGAAATCAGCCATGGTGGGAATATTTATACCACAAAAATCAGCAAATAATAGAAGTCAGCATTCTTTCTTTTTTCAAAGAATCAGTTGTTAAACATTTACCAGCTCATCATTACTCTTAAGTCTCTTTCTTGTATTCTATAAAAGCCTTCCTTCCTTTTTCTTTATTTGTTGGAGAAACTAGGTCATTTGTCCTATAGAATGTCCCACATTCTGGATTATAGCCTTATTTCTCATTGTCTCCCTGTACAAAAATATAGAGTCAGACAGACTTAGGGTCAAAACCCATCATTATCAGTAGCTGCGGGAAGTTGGGCAAGGCACAACCTCTGATTCTCAGTTTCTTCATCTGTAAACTGAAGATTGCACCTATCTTGTAGGGGATAAAGATTCAAGTATGTGGTGGCCGAGCGTGGTGGCTCACACCTGTAATCCCAGCACTTTGGGAGACTGAGGCAGGTGGATGATGAGGTCAGGAGTTAGAGACCAGCCTGGCCAACATAGTGAAACTCTGTCTCTATAAAAATACAAAAATAGGCTGGGCGCGGTGGCTCAAGCCTGTAATCCCAGCACTTTGGGAGGCCAAGGCGGGTGGATCACGAGGTCAAGAGATCGAGACCATCCTGGTCAACATGGTGAAACCCCGTCTCTACTAAAAATACAAAAAAATAGCTGGGCATGGTGGCGCGTGCCTGTAATCCCAGCTACTCAGGAGGCTGAGGCAGGAGAATTGCCTGAAACCAGGAGACGGAGGTTGCGGTGAGCCGAGATCGTGCCATTGCACTCCAGCCTGGGTAACAAGAGTGAAACTCCGTCTCAAAACAAAAACAAAAACAAAAACAAAATTAGCCAGGCATGATAGTGTGCACCTGTAATCCCAGCTACATGGGAGGCTGAGGCAAGAGAATCACTGGAATCTGGGAAGTGGAGGGTGCAGTGAGCCGAGATCACAACATTGCACTCCAGCCTGGGTGACAGGGCGAGACTCCATCTCAACAAACAAACAACAACAAAAAAATATGTGGTATACCACATGCATTAAAAACAGTACCTCCTCACATCTGTTAAAATGGCTATTATCAAAAAGATGAAAAATAAGTGTTGGTGAGAATGCAGAGAAAAGGGAACCCTTGTACATTGTTGATGGGAATATAAATGGTACAGTTGTTATGGAAAATTGTATGGAACTTCCTCAAAAAAAACTAAAAATAGAACTACCATAGCAATTCTACTTCTTGGTACATACCCTAAGGAACTGAAATTAGTATGTCAAACAGATATTTGCACTCCTATGTTCACTGTATCACTATACACAATAGCCAAGATATGGAAATGACTTAAATGTTCGTCAGTGAATGAATAAAGAAAATATGGTATAAACACACAATGGAATACTATTCAGCCTTAAAAAATAAGAAAATTCTGTGAGTGGTGACAATGTAACGAACCTAGAAGACATTATGTTAAGTGAAATAAGCCAGCACAGAAAGCCAAATACCACATGATCTCATTTACACGTGGAATCTAAAAACAAGGAACTCATAGAAGAGTAGAATGATGGTTACCAGAGACTGGGAGT